GGGTTGAAAGTAAATCTGCAGCAGAGTGGGAACCAAGTATCTGGAATTGACCCTCATCTTGCAACCTTGGGCGTTAACCTTTTCCCCCTTAGCTTGTTCAGCTACAAAATGGAGATGATGATAATGTTAGCTCTGCTTATTTTAGAGCATTTTGAAAATTAAATGTAAATGGAAGTACCTTGTGCCAGCAAAGGTGGAGGTATTTGTAGTTGGGTGGGTAGAAGCATGGCTCTGGCTCAAACCCTGGGATCAGTGGCACCTTCTATTGACCTGCCTGAGAATCCTAAGGTTCTATACAGCTCTCCATATATGAACACAGATTTGAGGCATATTTAGGGCAAACTAGGATAGAGCTCATTAACTGTACAGGCCAGTGGAGTGGCTATTGACCACAACATGCCTAGTAACTAAATAAACTAACTAAGCTAAGAAAATTGAGTCCCTAGTCACACTAGTTCCACTGTAGCTGCTCAATAGATACTTGTGGGTAGTGGTATCCATTTGGCCAACACAGAGGACATGTCCATCATGTCAGAACATTCCTTTGCATAGTTCTGTTGTGGAAGGAGCCAGTCCCTGTCACAAAGAGAATAGTGGGGCTCTTCCTTCACTAGTGGGGCACCTCTGTCTGGTGAGCCTCCAAGCCAGGGAGACTGTGGGAGCTCCAACTCCAGCTGTGCCTTAGGCTCTTCAGGATCAGCTGCTCTCCAGAAGACCTTGTACAATGATGTCTGCCATTTTTCTGCCACTTTCTACCTGGATTCAGCTCCACAGGCTATGGCCCTGGTGAAAAGTCTGTCCCATTAAACTTATGAAATAAATCTCCCATTCACTCCGTTCAGTACCACAGGTGTCCTCAGGACCTCATATTGGCTTGGTTCTTTTCCAGTGTGTGAAGAGAGCTGATCAGAGGGAGGCAGCCCAGATGCTTCAGGAACTTAAGGGCAGGGTGAAAGCACTGCTTCATAATTCCTAGAGTCGTGCAGAGGGCAGGTCTGAGTAGTAAATCCCATACCACAGTGGTCTGTATCTGACACTTGAACAAAAAGAAATCACCCTCTTGCCCTGCTCAAAGCCTGCTCCGCATAGCCCTCCACCTTTGAGCCTGCTCTCATTCCCATGATGCACAGGGAGATTCCATTATGACTTGGGATTTGCCGCAAGATCACTTTATTACGTTCTTGTGTCTTAGGAGATTAGATAGTGTAAGATAGTGCACGATGGGTAATAACTGTAGAGGTTAGGAGGCTTACAGGTATTTGATTTGTACTTACTAACTATATCACCTGACATTAGAAGGAATTTGATTTTAGCCCAGGTTTGGTTGTAATTTTCCAAAACAGCTTTCTTTTTAGGAATCCAAATACAACTGGAAAACATTCAGATGTCAAAACATCTGCCTGTTCTGTTGAAGGAACTTGGAACTTCAGAGCTAGCCTGTCAGTAAGTCGGTGTGGAGAAAGACTTTTTTTTCCCAGAATTCGGCTTTTCCTCCAGTCATGGGTTTATCAAGCTCTTGGTTTTGTGTCAGGCAGTCTAATGTGGTGTCTTCAAACCTCTGCCAAGGGGAAGTCCATGCAGAGGTTGTTTGTTTCCTTGTTTCAATTTATGGTTGTCACAATCTATTAGTAGAATCAGGGATATCTAGAAGAGAAAAATAGACCAATAAAAGTGAGCAACCTGTGTGTATTGGGGCCATCATTTGAGCCTCTGACGTGGATGATGCAGCTTCTAACTGGGAGGTTTACCAGTGTCAATGGAGTCACTGTTCCCAGTGAGCCATGGAAGAAAGTGCGGAAAGATGACTGGTAGGATGTCCTAACTTTATATTGCAATCTCCAAAACACCTGAAAGAACAACTTAAAGGAGGAAATATTTTCGCATGTTCTCGGAGCATTCAAGTCCATGTGGCTCAAACCCATCTACTTGGGGAGAACATCGAGGCAACAGAAGGCATTGCAGAGGATGTTCTGAGCTCATGGTGGAGTTGGTGGTGGAGAAAGGGAACACAGGAAACACAGGAATGCATCAGAGCAAGACACAGCCCCCAAGGACACACCCCAGTTACTTTCTCCACCTAGATCTTGCCTCCTAAAGGTGCCACAATATCCCCCCTAAGAGCACCTCTAGCCAGGGCTAAGCATTCAAGATACGAACTTGTAACAGGATATTTCATATTTTTATTTTATGTATATGAGTGTTTCGCCTGCATGTATGCAAGAGCATCACATGCATGCAATACCAGCAGAGGTCAGAAGAGGGCACAGATCTCCTGGAACTGGAGTTATGGATGGTTGTGAGTCACCATGTGGGTGCCAGGAACTGAACCTGGGTCCTCCTCAGCCAGTGATCTTAACCACTGAGCCATCTCTCCAGCCCCTGATATTTCATACTTAAAGCATAGTAGATGCATATGGTGCACATGAATCATTCATTCTTATACTGGGAAGGACCCTAGTATAGAGGGGGGTCCCTGGAAGTGGGGCCCTCTGTTTCCTTCCTTTTGGGTACTATTTCCTATCTGAATAGAAGGTTCTGTCAGCCCAAACACGGTGCTTAATGCAAGCTCTCATCCTCGGCTTTGTGGCATAAGACCCTGGTCTGCATCTTCCTGAATGGGATGGGAAAAGAGCAGTTGGGAGAAACACAGATGAGTCCATCTTGGCTGGGGAGAAAGGCAATTTCTAAACTCCTCCCCTCACTGAATGTCTGTTTACAGAAAAGTGAGCACAAATGTTTTATTTTACATTATACTCTGGATGCCTGAGGATTACTTTTTGTTTGTTTGTTTGTTTGTTTGTTTGTGACAGAGTCTCACTATGTTGCCCCAACTGACCTGGAATTTGCTACATAGACCATCCCAGACTGGCCTTGATCTTACAGACAGCTGCCGACCTCTGCCTCCCAAGTGCTGGGATTTAAGTGCACCAGCATGCCCAGCTTGGGGCTTATTTTTTTAAAAATATATATTTTATTTAATTATTATTATTATTGTTGGTCTTTTTTGATCTGAGACAGGATCTCCCAGCTGGTAGTCCCAGTTGGCCTGGAACTCACTATGTAGACCAGGCTGGCCTCAAACTCACAGAGATCTGCCTGCCTCTGCCTCCTGAGTGCTGGGATTAAAGGTGTGTACCATCATGCCCAGTGTATTTTATTATTTTTATTTTATATGTATGAGTGTATGTACATGAGTGCACCCATGTCCTGCAGTGCCCTCAGAAGTCAGAAGAGGGCATCCAACTCCCCTGGATCTGGAGTTACAGATGGTTGTTAGCTGCCATGTGGGTGCTGGGAATCAAACCTGGTTCCTCTGCAAGAGCAACCCGTGCTCTTAACTGCTGAGCCATCTCTCTAGCGCAGGACTTCTTAACTAACTAAAGCTTCATCAGCAATCAGAAGGGCTATGAAAACCCATTGTCTTTTCATGAGGAAGGACTGAATGTCAACAGCAAACTAAGGGTGGAATGAGAGAAGTCACACACTTCTGTCTGCTGAAAAGCAAAGGGACCTGAAAAGAATACTGCTCTCCTCCAAAACCAGGACCCACAGGATAGTTCAGCAAGCCATGTCAGTGCTTTCTCCTGTGTGCTAACAAGACTGTCTGTTCATCTCATGAATTACAATAGAAATAAGAACTTTGGAACATGAGTCACACCCTAGGAGTTGGAGTGTGTCAGGAAGGGAGAGTGGAATTCAGGAGGCATCTTAACTTACCTTTTTACATAAACATGGGGGGGGTAGGAGTGTGTGTGTATGTGTGTGTGTGTGTGTGTGTGTGTGTATGTTAATCCCTTTGAATACATATTAAAACATAAACAAAGCTCTATCTCTTTAAGTACAACAGATATATACATTGAAGATATATACATAGCTTCTGTGGCAGGTACTCAGCAGACCAGGGTCTCTTCTGCCTCTGTTTACAGAACTCCTGGACCGTGTTATCTCAACTTTAAAACTGCTGACACTTTGTGCTGGATAATTCTTTTTAAAAATATTTTATTTATTATTTTTGTTTTATGGGTATGAGTGTATTGCTTGCATGTAGGTAGGTGTACCTGCGTAGTGCAATGCCCACAGAGGTCAGAGGAAGGTGTTGGATCCCCTGGAATTGGAGTTACAGACAGTTGTTTGCTGCCATGTGGATGCTGGGAATTGAACTCAAGTCCTCTGCAAGAGCAGCCAGTGCTCTTAACCACTGAACCAGCTCTCCAGCTCCAGTGCTGGATAATTCTTTGTAGTGCCTTCTTGTGCATGTTTTGCAGCAAACCTGGTCTCTACTCACACCCATGACACAACAGTGTGGACTAAGTTTTGTGTCACTGTGAACACAGTACCTGACAGAAATGACTTGAGAAAAGATTTTGCCTCATGGTTTTGGAGGGTTTCAGTCTACCATGGTGGGGAAGCACTGGCAGTGGAACCATGGGGTATATTAGTCACATCATGTTGGATCAGGCAGTGGAGAAAGAATGCTGGTAATCTACTAGCTTTCTCCTTTTCTCCTCTTATCCCATCTGGGGCCCCAGGCAATGGGCTGGTCCAATCCACATTCAGGGAGGATCTTTCCCCTCAGTTTATCCTCTCTGGAAACATCCACAACTCACTGACTGCACCTACAGGTGTGCCTTAATCTCCCTTGTGATTCTGGTTGAGAACCTCTGTCCTGGATCACGTCACCCCCTAGGCCACTGAGTTCTCACTGGTAGACAGTGGTGACCTGATGAGAGCATCTGAAGTCCCCTTTGGGTCCCAGCCTTCATAAGTGATTGGACAACCAGTGCTGCTACAAATGGATCTCTACGTGGAAATATGTTGATAAACACAGTTCATTTACCCTAATTGACTGACTCCCAAAATACACAAAGATAAATACATAGATATAGATAAAAAATACACTCTGTGTTTTACTAGACTCTACCTATACAGCTGGATGTAACAGAGGAGTGTTTGGAAAGTGTTTGACTGAAATGTCTGCATTTGTTTTTTCCTTTCCACAGGAATTCTTACACTAAAGAAAGCAAATGACCTCCTGAGCGCAGGTGTGCCGGGCAGTTTTCTGATCCGAGTGAGCGAGAAGATCAAAGGCTACGCCCTGTCCTACCTGTCTGAAGAAGGCTGCAAACATTTCCTCATAGATGCCTCCACTGACTCCTACAGCTTCCTGGGTGTGGACCAGCTACAGCACGCCACTCTGGCTGATTTGGTAGAATATCATAAGGTAAAGCCATTCATAGACTGAATTTGCTTTAGGAATTTTCTTTAAGAAAAGCAATTAGAAGGAAAATGACCGAGACACACAATGGGGAGATTTGTGTTTGATAATTCCTCCTGATAACCATGAATCTTAATTGCATTTCTTTATCATGGAACTTACTTCCTCCCAACACACTCAGAGAGACCCCGCCCCGGGTTTGGGAATGCCCAGGATGCTAAAAAGCTGGGCACACACTGACCATATCTGAGACCAGTCCTAGTTTAGAACTAGGGCTCTAGAGGGAAAGGGAGGGTAGTGAGGAGAAAAATTGCTTTTAAGATTGTCATAATAAAGCTTTGTATAAACCCAGGGTAGAGGAATGATATCCCCTGAGGAGGGGGTACCAAAGGCGTCTACCACACAGCTGCCAGCCTGACCTTGTGTTTTGATTGGCAGGAAGAACCCATAACTTCCCTGGGGAAGGAACTCCTGCTATACCCCTGTGGTCAGCAGGACAAGCCACCAGACTACCTGGAGCTCTTTGAGTGACAGCTTCCATCCAGATCAACCTCCAACCTCCAACTGGGTTCTCCTCTGAGCAGACATCTCTGAGATGGACATTTGTGTGTGATGCCAATTTACTCTGTGACAGAGCCAACACTGAACAATGGAAGTGTCCATGAGGTCCTGGTGAAAATCTCTCCTTCACAAATGTTGGTTTTAATTCAAGGAAGGGAAAAATGACCTCACCCTCATCCTCACTCTGAAATGGAAAAGGAAAAGGGTATCCTAACATGAAGGATATGACCTTGAAGGATGAGACTTCAATGACTGATGTATATAAGATTAAAAAAAAGGAAGAAACTGAGAACTTTTAGTAATTAAGGTGTTACTTTTAAAATCAGAAGCTGTGTGAACTCTTTTGTGATCTACAAATTCCCTCTTTGTATAACTCTAAGGTCTCAAAGTCCTGTTTAGATGAACTTCCATCTTGCCTTTAGAATGCCAGAAAAGATTGTCCTCATTGAGAGCTGAGTTATCCTCAAAGCACCCCCCTCTCTGTGTGTCTTGGAGCCAGGATGTAGGAGACAGAAAAGCAAGCCACAAGTATAAATTGAAAGGGTTTTAACAGTTAGGTTGAGAGATTTACCATATATGGAAAGGAAATGCACAGGGATTGTAGGAAAGTGAACAGCACCTGGGAGCTTGCTTCCTCATCCTGGGGAGTAGGGAGAGCACCTGGTCTGCCTCCTTCATCCCAAAGATGACATACATGTTCATGTAAGGTGTCATGTGTTAGTGATGCACAGACAAGAACAGAATAAGTGATCTGTTCAGATACTACTTCTTGAGGGTTGAATTGTGCTTGGCACCAAAAATACACCAAAGCCCTCCTTATCCGTGAATGTGGCCTTATTTGGAAATTGGGTCTTTACATATGAAGACAAGAGAAGATTGCTTCAAGTAGGGTAGGACCTAAAGCCAACGACTGGTATCTTTATAAGGGAAGAGAGGTTTAGGAACGGACACACCGGAGGAAGAAGGCCCCAGGAAAGAGTAAAGGAAGGCCACTGTAAGGCAGGGAACACCAGGAACTTCAGCAGCCACCACAGGCCAGGGACAGATTCTCCTTGGAACTCTAGAAGAGAACATGGTCTTGCTCACACCTTTATTCCAGCCTTTTAGTCTCCAGAACTTCAAGAGAATAAATGTCTTTCTAAAACATTGAGTTTATGGTGATTTTTTACAGCAGCCTCAGAAAGCTAACACAACAGCTAGTGTAATCACAGATCCTGCATGCATGGTAGACCCATTCATTGCTACACAGTCTACAGCCTCGTGAAATAAATATAGAGCATGGGACAGCCTTTCAAGTAGTTCTGTCTGGCCCTGGGGCACAGATTTATTCAGTCAGGAATCTTCTGCTTTGCAAGCATCCTTAAACCAAAACCTCCAGCCATTCTTAGTCCAGCATCAATGCAGAGGTGGTTAAATTCTATGTCGGGATCAAGGAGGTTGTGTGCTGGGCCACTTGATGGCATTTTTTTCTAGGAGGACAGAGCTTTACCTGTGGCTCAAACCTAACTCTGTTAGGATTCTGTTAAATTGCCTTTTAATGAAAGGGGACTGGTGTCGCAGTCTGTTCATTGTGTGGTTCACTCAATCAACTGCAGAATGCAGCCAGGGTAAAGACTGGTGTGCACTTTAATGAGAAAGCTTTTACACTTACATCATAGCTGTTTCTTGAAGTATACTATGTGGTTTATATTGTTAAAAGTGTATAAGACCCTGTGACTTAGCTTTTGTTTCCATGATTCCATAGTCTTGGCATTGTTCAGAATCTCTGTTCTGTTCCCATCTTTCCCCACTATTTTCTGTATAATCTTGAACAGACCTCTTTACTTATCTGTGTTCATTACTTTTCTTGTTGCTGTGACAAAATACCCAGTGAAAGCTACTTAAGGAATGAAGGGCTTATTCACAATTAGAGGGAACAGTCCATCATGACAGGGAAGGCATGGTGGCAGGAGCCTGAGGCAGCTGGTCACATTGGATCCACATTTAGGAAGCAGAGAGAGAGGAATGGAGGCGCTCAGCCTGCTTTCTCTTTTTTATCCATCTGGGACCCCAGCCCATAGGATGATGTTGCCCACATACAGAGTAAGACTTTGAGTTTTGGTTAAACCTTCTGGAAACATCCTCTTCTCATAGTGATTCTAAGTCAAATCAATAGTGAAGATGAAGCATCACACTATCCAACCTTCAATTTTGCTTCTGAAGGAAATAAAGTCTTTAATTGAGTTATCTTTATTATTTTCATCCAGCTTTGAAATCTTCAGGACCTGTGTTCTATTATTCACTGGAATCAGTAGAATCTCCCACACTTGCCGATAATTTTGAAGACAGTTAAGATTCCAACATCACTCTCTGTCTAAAATTGTATTGTAGGAAATAAGTATGACTGTATCCATATACATCTGTGCTGAGTGACATTCGACTGGAAAATGATTTAGAAATAACCCAACCAAGTTAACCTAATATATTACCAGAGAAGGAGATTTGAGCTCTGCCCTATTTTATCCTATTAGTTATTGACATTCAAGGGAATAACTACCTAGTGTTTAATGATGCAATGGCCAGGAGTAATATTTGAAATTCTTAGGGAAGGAAAATGGTTTATAGAACCCTAAATTTCAGCTAAATAGGCCAAGGAGGCCTGAAACTCATCCTCACTGTTACTGTCTCTGACACTGTTAGATCCTAGGTATGAACTAAGGTGGTGTCTAGCCCTGGCCCTGGTCTCCTCCTTCTGTTACACCAATAAGCCCGGCTTTCTGCCCTTCCTGCTCAAGCTTTCGTGGTCCAGGATGTTGCCTTCCTGTGATTGTCTAGGTTCTCAGCTCTAGGGACTTGGGCCTGAGGACACTTGCATCTCAGGCTATGACCAAATGACAACCCTGCTCATACCAGTTCTAAGATTCTAGAATCTTTCTGCTCCAATCATCTCAGACTTTCTGGCCTCTGTATTTCCAGGGCCACCAAGACCACCCCAGGCTCTGTCCTCTAGGTCTGCTCTACCTGCAGTTAGACTCAGGGCAGTTTGTTTGCTTCTCAGTGTCACCAGCAGTGCTAAGACAGGTCAAGAAGTGTCAGTTCAAACCTTACCCTAGGATAAGGAAGAGCATAGGAACAATTAAGAGAATCACAGGGAAGAAAAAGTAAAGATAGACACACCATAAACAGATTCCCAAAACTATCACAGAGCATTTGTAACCAAAATTCACTATTTGAGCTAAGGCTTTGACTTAGCCATCATTTGAGTGGAACAGCACTAATGTGCATGAGACCTGCTTTAGGTTAAAAAGAAAAACACCATGGTTTAAATCTGCAATGGCCACCTTCTATAAAGGCAGGCTATTTAATGCACTAGAGTTTGGACAGTATGTGTCTTGGAGTTCCTGTTATTTTGAACACTATGTAAAATTATGTATGGGACATGACATCTATATATATAATGGAGTTTCTGTGCTCTAGTATTGTGAAGATCATAGTAAATGCTTCTATTTCAAGGTGCATTGCACTCGTCTTTCTTAGAATTCAACTTTTCTACAATTATATCTTTAATAATTCTGTTTGAATTTTTTTTCTTCCTTAGAGTAGCTACAAACTATAGATTTCTCCTCCCTGCCTTCCACTTTTCTAGTCTGCTCATTGTGCTCAACTCTTCATTAATTCTGTCTTATTTTCAGAGCTGCTCCTCTCTGACCTTTCTACGAGAGAAACTGGACTTTCTGCCTTGTTAATTCTGTGATTTCTGCTGATGGTGTGGATTTTAGTACCATAATACATTTCAGATTTACTTGTCAGTTGGCAAGTAACTTTTCTCCCTTCCCTATACAGGGGCATTCAGACTTAGCTTTGTTGCTCTAGATTGAAAACTATCAAGGAGCTTAAATGATGAAAGTTCTCTCCTTTTAATGCATGGTAAAAACATTTTTTGGTAATAAGGTAGTTTGACACAATAGAGAGAAGGCCCACAGTAGAGAGAAGGCAGGTTTGCATCCTGCCTCTATCATTAATTAGCCATGTGGAATCATTAAAAACTTATGGGGGGCAGGGGGCTGGAGAGATGGTTCAGCACTTGAGAGCACTGGCTGCTCTTGTAGAGGACCCGGGTTCAATTCCCAGCACCCACATGGTGACTAACAACTGTCTGTAACTCCAATTCCAGGGGATCCAACGGCCTCTTCTGACCTCTGTGGGCACTGTAGCACATGGGTGCACTTACACACAGGCAATATACTCATAAAATAAATAAACAAAATAAATTTACAAGCCTATCTGAGCTATAACTTCTTTGTCTTTCAAACAAGAGTCACTGAAGTCATGTGGGTTCTGAGGATTAGAAAATAAATATGTTAAGTGCCTGGCACAGAGAAAGCTCTGCGTAAGTCGTAATTATTCCCTATGAATTCTGGATCCTACGAAGCCAACATCTATGTACACACCCTAGGCTGCTTCTTTCTTAACTTTGCTTATGTGACCAATGTACCAAGTTTCTGGAGTTTCTGGGATGATTTTAAAGGGGAAATAGAAACTTCTAAGAGCTGGGGTTTAATACCAGCTAGTTGATGCACTTAGTTTGGATCTTAAGTGGCACTGGAGGAGAAGGGATATTTTCTAATGATTTTTGACAATCCCAAAGTTAGCAGTGGCCAGCTTTTACCCCTAAACTTGCCATTGAAAAATTGACTCAGTTGCCCAGGTATTTTAATCACAAACCCCCAAATTAAACCTCCTTTTTTGAGCAGGAAACTTACTGCATTGGGAAATACTCTATTCTGCCTGTCAACCTGTTAGGTCAGGGCATGCCAAGAATATACTTAATGCAAGAGGAGCAGGTTGCCCATCCCCCACGCACATGAAAATCAGCTGAGCATGCATCTTTTGAGAGGTTGCTCCTTTGTGATGTTTTCCCACCAACTCAAAATCCTTGTAAGCAACAATCCTCCTCCCACCCCCCACTACAGCACTGAGCCTCCAGAACCCAACAAAATGGTGAATGCTGTCTCTTTGGGGGTCTTTCTCAAAGACGTGACAGACTAGTACATAAGCATCTCACCCAGGCTACTCTGACTATTCCTGACAGCCCCCTACACGATGGGTATCATCTTTACATGCCTCTGTTTGAGGTTAGTCACAGGGAAAAAAGAAATTATTAAATAAAAATTTCCTTCAGTTTTATTTTGAATTTAATTCAAGTGATTTTCTGTGGTTTGTTGTTCATTTCAAAATGTTAAATCCACTTCAAACGAGCTTTAAGACCACAGCAAAACAAGACTGCTTATTGTAGGTTTTCAACATGTTTTGGAGACTGAGGTTGATGGTAGATTTGGAAGCTGTGGGGACTGAGGCAGAGGGAGCTGTCAACAGTCCTGCATTTAGCAGATTTCAGCCCTAAAGTATGGTTAAAAAAATGAGGAATAAATTCAGTTCACCCAGGAACCCATACGAGGTTGACAGACATTTGGTGAGTCCCGGCAGCCCCCCTAGATGGCCTGGTCCTCAATGAATCCAGGGTCTGTGGAGGTAGGTGCATGGCCTGGCTTCTCTCTGTAGTAACATCCTGCCTTTCCAGTCTGTGAGCTTCACCACACCTCCTCCCTGTTCCCTCCCCCATGGTCTCTGGTCCTTTTTATTAGAATTGCCAAAAGACACACCCAGGGACACTGGGGTTGGCTTCTGCAGAAGGTGTGTTCAAAGGCTCAGCAACACAGAGACATTTTGAAAGGCACCTTTGTGGACAGGAAAGAACATATTCTGTGTGTTGGAAAAAAAATCACCCCAAACACCAACCAATTGGCACGGACCCCATAGTTTTTGGCAGCAACAGCAAACTCAGAATCCTGCCAGGAGAAACAGCTTTGAATGATAATAAAAAGCTAATCAGAATATGGATCACACAGCTGCCAGGTATTGATGGGTGCTACGAGCAAAATACACCTATCTTCTTAAGAAGCTGCCCAAGGTCATTATCTCATCAGCACAGCAAGTCTCTGGAACTCTCTTTTTAACACAAGGATTCCCACCTTACCCTCGTACTCAAGACAGTCTTTAAATTTCTCCTCTTGGGATCCTGGGTAGGAGCTGGATGCTGAGACTTCAGTCTTCAACACAGTCCCAACCCTGCTCATAATTACGATGCAGGTGGAGGGGGATGTGGGTGCTGGGACGTGCAACTCTCCCTGGATTGCTGTGTTAACAAGTTTCCATTCCTTCTCTGTGTTTCTTTTATGGAACTGGAGAGCAGGGAAGCCATGGGGACTGGCTCTGAACTTGCCCTGCTCAAAGTCCTTTCCCTCATGCTTTCATACCAACTGGACCCAGCCATGGGATGAGATGGCCACATGGAGTCCTGGAACCAGTTAGTTTCTGACTGGGCCCCTGAACAAATTCCTTAACATTTCTGGGCCTCTATTTTCTGCACCGGAAAAATGGAAGTAACGCTATTACTTGCCTTAAAATTTATAAGCCTAAGATCCTTTCCCAACCATCTCATCAAACCTAGATTACTGAGCATCGAGTTTATGGTAGTAGCTGTCTATTATGTTTTTACATTCCTACTCTTTTCTTTCACAGATAGTTTTCAGAACAAAACAAAAGACAACCATCTATGACGGTTTCACAATCTTTAATGCATGGCCCAACAGTGACCCTCTGATTATGTCCAAGAAGTATAGGGACCACTGAGAAGCTCAATACTTTCCAGAGACATGGAATGAATGAAGAGCTGTTTAATACTAATAAGGCATAAGCACCTCCTATGTGCTGGTCAGACCCTAAGTGCTGCACCTACATTGACCCGTTTAATCCTCAAACAGTTGCATTACACAGATGTGACTGTATTCATCACCCTAACAGAGGAAACTGAGCTACACAGAAACACTGGGTGACTCATCTAAAATCATGTAAGTTGCAGGTCAAAGAATGAGAATTTGGATTCTGATGGTCTGGATGGAAAGGCCATAAAATAGCTACTGCACAGTACTGAGCCCTGGTAAGATTAGATAAAACAACAGAGTTTTTTTTCCTGAAACCAAGAGTTAAAATTCTGTGTAGCTACTTTCTGGGTCTGGAGAGATGGCTCAGTGGTTAAGAGCACTGGCTACTCTTGCAAAGGAGCTGGGTTCAGTTTTCAGCACCCACATGGCAGCCAACAACCGTCTGTAACTCCAGTTCCAGGAGAATTCACTGCCCTCTTCTGACCTACATGGGCATTGCAGGACACAGATGCACTTACACACATACACTTATACACATAAATAAATAAAATTTTTTAAAGAGTTAAAAATTCTGCATAGCTACTTTTCTAGGCCAGATTCCTCAACACAGATGTGTGAAAGAAGGCAAGATGACCACATTTACCATCAGAGAGAGGGGCTGGAACATAGATGAAGATACAACACAAGGAGTTGAAGTATGTCATTTCAAAGCAATATGTGTTGATAAATATTTAACAACAGACTAGGCCAGGGTGATAGCTAGAGGCTGCAGGTCTGATCTGTAGAATTAAAGGCTAGTTCCCATGGTGTAAATACTCTGTGGTTTTCAAGGTATCAACCTGTCATCATCAAGGAAACACTTGGGAAGAGTTGTTAACTTGCTCTCACACAGCAGGATCAGTAGTATTATTTGACTGAGACCCCAGATATATTAAGGCTGACTGCCAGGCAACTTAGAGCAATTAAGAGTAGAGTAAGCATGCAGGAAGTTAAAAGGGGCCATTGACAAGCTAAGACTCCAGGCATCCCAACAGTATCCTTCCTTCCATAGAGGTGATGTGCTTGAGTCCTTCAACATATCTCTGCTTTCCTTTGCTGCTTAGGTTTAAATTCTAGCCTCTTATTTAGGCTTAGCCATAAGCCTGGGGCAGACAGAGCTAAGCCTCTGCCCTTTGTTTTATGCACTGTGCTTACTTTTGCTCAGTGTGACAAACACCTGAAAGATAGTTTAGTAAACCAAAGATCTGTTTTGGATCATGACTTCTGAATCTTCTGTCCATGGCTGGTTGGCTTCTTTGTTTCTGCGTTTTTGGTGAGTCAAGCAGAGACAGTGTGATGGAGGAGAGATGCTTACCACATGGTGAACAGGAAGCAAAAAGAGCTGGGAGGAGGCAGGGAAGGGGAGAACATTATGTCTCTCCAGGATACACCTCCTAGTTTTCCACCGTCTTCCAATAATAATTATATCAAATTATGAATGCATAAAGGGATTGATCCATCAGTTAAGTCAGAGCCCCAGGATCCAATCACATTCCCAAATTCCATCAGCTGGCAATCATGCCTTTAGCATGTGAGCCTTCAAGAGATATTTCACATTCAAACTATAACACCTGGTTAAGGTTTAGAACAAAAGAAGTAATTGTTTCCTATCCTCTTTAGCCACCCTCAGCAACTTTTATTATTACTTTTTTTGATCAGCATACAAAGCAATGGGTTTTGTTATGGGCCATCAGCAGTGTGTGTGTGTGTGTGTGTGTGTGTGTGTGTGTGTGTGTGCGTGCAGGTATGCTCACTATGCCCATCCATATCAGGCCAGAGGTAGTGCTGGGGTTACAGGTACCTACTACCATGCCTGGCTTTTATATGGGTATGGGGATCTGAGTTCATTTCACTCACTCAGCCATCTCTCCATATACCCTCATCAACTTTACAAATCAGTTCTTTGCCAAATGTGATTGTATACAACTGCAACCCCAGCACTTGAGAGCCTGAGGTAGAAGGATTACTGTGAGTTTCAGGCCAGCCTGGGCTACAAAGTGAGACCCTGCTTTAAGAAACAAACAAGTCTTATTCACTGTCCCAGGCATATGTTCACACAGATATGGTGTGAACAAGTTCAAAAGCTGATTAGCACAGTCGGGCAGGGACTACAGCATCCAAGAAGAACTTGGACCTGCCCTAATCCGTGATTTAAAAAACTGATCACTGCTACTACCCTATTTGGATATTAGGAATGACTTGTACAACATGGACACAATCTTGCCTAAAGACTTTTACTTAACCTTGCAATCAAAAAGATTACTCTTTATACTGTAAACAAGCTCACTGAGCCATGTGCTTCTCTTGTGACTGAGCATATGACCTTCATCCCTCAGGACCCCACTTTGCCCTCCTTAGGAGATGAGTCAGGGAATGAATGTGGGTGAGCTTGTTTAAAACATCAAAGCACTGAAAGCAGGCTATTCTCATCGAAAACAATGAGAACTGAGAAGTGTGTGTTTGTGTGTGTGTGTGTGTGTGTGTGTGTGAGAGAGAGAGAGAGAGAGATAGACAGAGAGAGAGACAGAAACAGAGAGAGATAGAGAGACAGAGAGATTTTAGACCTAGGGAATCAATGGGCAAGATTCTCTGATAAGGGTGGATCCTAACTTCTACTTCTCCAATTCATGTTGAAAAAAGCTGTTCCAATAACAGTATAATTGAAGCCTGAGAGACATCTGAAGGAACAGGTGGTTCTCAGAGTTCGGGACCACTCTTGACCTTAAAACTAAAAGTTATTTATTCAGGTAAAACTTTAATGTGGCTTAGCAATGCTGAGCTGACTCTGAGACTGTCATCAAGAGAATACAAGTCAGTGACAAATATGTCAGGTCCACTATTCAGAAACAACAGTCACATATTCCCCAGCCTCTAGAATCACCAGAGTATGTGAACATAACAAGGGCAGTGTGGGACAGAGTTTTGGAAATCACCTCTCAATTTCATCTAAAAATTAGCATCAATGGAAGGAATAAACAGTTCAACTTTTTCATCTTAGCCTAGTGGTTCTGAACCACTCACACCTCTTGTCCCTCCATTGTTTGACAATAATTAGAGATACTCTGGTTGCCAAAACCTAGTAAGAGAGGCCCCTGGCATTCAGTGTGTGGAAGATAGGTCGGAGCATTGCTCAGGACAACTCCTCCTCCCAACTGAGCCATTAAGCCCAAACTGTTAGCCGGCTAAGGATGAAACCTCTTGGTCTACGCACCGAAGGACTGTTTTCCCCAAACTAAAGACAGCATCCTTACTCCAAGAAGAAATCAACCCCACAAATCATATTTTATTAGCTGTGCACTGCTATCTTTCATTCATGTCTTGTGTTTTAATTAAATTGTATAAACTACCAGTACAAATCAATAGTTTTTTTTTTTTAAATACACACATAGCTCGAATGTTCTTGAAGCTTTTAAACAATGAATTTACTGTGTTCAAACAGGTTGGGAGAGAGCATTCGTGCATCTGGTGCTGGCTAATAAATAATTCTCACATGGATGTAGAAACCATTCAATGTTAACCATATTTATTTTTTAAAAACAGTTTGAAAGTGTAATAAAATGCAAGTTTCAGAAGCATCTTGGCAACTGAGTAGCAGTGCTTAATTTAAAAAATAATTAAGTTACTTCTACATAGCTTGGAGTGAGTGAGCATGTAGCCAAATCTTTTGTCTCCTAGGATTGATGGACTGATCTTTCACAAAATATATATTTTTCTACATTTTTTCCCTATGGAAGTCAGAAGACAGGAAGAGCACCCTGCTTTGAAAAGTGATTGTTTAGTTCATAACTTTGGTTTATTTAAACAGGTAAGAAAGTGGTCCCCATTTCTCTGGAGGACAAAATATATTTTATATTAAATATACCAAGGTACTATGAGTTTCCTTTTCTGTTAAGATGAAAGTGTCTTTTCCTTTTCTCCAGTGTTTGGTTGCTCCTCTTTGAACACGTTCTTCAGAAAAAATGATTCTTAATATACCTCTTTCTCTCTGTAGCTCCACACATAGCTTTACCTGTGTCTCAAGGAGGGATACATCCTAATGAGGTAAGTCCTCCAAAGCACTGTCAATCAGATGCTTGGAACAGAGTTCTCTTAACACCACTCAAATTATCTTCTCCACCAGTTGAGGGGATGCACACCTGTAATCTCAGAATCTCAGCATCTCAGCGCTCAAGAGACTGAGGCAGGAGGATTACAAGTTCAAGGCCAGCCTTTGCTCTATGGCAAGACCATCTCAGAAAACAACAGAAAGAGAAAAAAAAATCTTTAAAAACATAAAACATATATGTTATCTTCTATTCTTACTAAGGCCTGCGAACCAATAATTAAATAAGCAAAAAGTCATACAAGCAAAAAAAAAAAAAGTGCATTTTTTTAAATGAATAGAGATGTTAAAAGGTAACCCAAGAAGAGAAGGTTAATTTTTGGTTACACTTGGGGGAAATGGCACAATTATTTATGGTTTGTTTTCTTGATCCCTTTGATTCGGCTTACTGTCCCCATGAGGACCCTGATGTCAGACCTGCACACTTTGCAGGGGTCCTCTGCCGTCTTCTGAGATTTTAGCATTCCTGGACATCAGAGCCTTCTGACATAACCATTCCTAGGAGGAGAAGCAAAGTGCTTGCCTCTCATTCTAATGAACTTTTTACAAAACTGGTCTGAAGTCATGAATATTTCTGAAAGCAGAGACCACAGAGCTCAGTTTGTTGTAAACACAGTCAGAGCCATTGCCAGCCACCTTGTCACCCCCGCACCATTCTGCCTTCCTCATTCAGCTCCAGGTGCATCCGGGCTCCATTTGCAGGCAAAGTAGAGGTCTTCATTCTCCTTGCACAGAGCCAGCTAGAAGCTGGAGGCTCTCCGTCCCTTCTCATCTCTTCTCCTCATCAGCCAGATTCCTTTTTCTGCCCTTTATGAAGTCTATTCCTTGTTGCATTCACTTTTTCAGTAATTGCAAAAGGCGAAAAAAAAAATCTCTCCCCAAATTCATGCCTGGGAGTTCATGATTTTTTGCTGCTTATCTTCTGTTTCTGTTTGCGAAGGTGAGCCTCTATCTCGTGCCGGAAGACAAGCATCCCCAGTTGCCCATGGGATGCTTCATTCATGGCCTTGGACTGCATGCACATTTTGTACTGCTCGGGGGTCAGCTCGTCCATACAGTGCTTCTCATGCCAGAGATGGAAGAGACCCCGCACGGGCGTGCGTACCACAATGAGGTTGCTATGGAGGTACTTTCGGTACAGGTGCACATCCTCTCCGCCCCAGCCCTTGATGTCCAGGTCAAAGCCACCTGCGGGGAGAGAACTTGCTATTGAATAGTGTGGCATGCACAAGTATCTCCTAATCTCTCTTAGCTTCCATAGGCTTTTCATCAACAGGCATTTAATGGGGCTGAGGAGATAGCTCAGATGGTAAAGTGTTTGCTTTGCATATGAGGACCTAAGTTCATCCCTGGAACTCACATTAAAAAAATCTAGGCATGTACCCTGGACATGATGTCACTCGCTTGCAATTCCAGTGCTGGAGAGGCAGAGAGGCAGATGCCTGGGGCCTGCTGGCCAGTCATCCTAGCCCACTTGGTGAGCTCCAGGCCATTGAGAGACCCCGTCTCAAAACTGAAAAGGTGGATGACACCAAAGGGATGATACCTGAGCTTTTCTCATGATATGCATACCCATGCACGCATGCATGCTCATGCACACACACACACACACACACACACACACACACAGAAGCATTCATGGTAGGTGCTGTACCATCCATCTATCCAAGTTCACAGTGTCCATCTGGGTCAGAGGCTTTGGATAAACACACCCAATAGGAATGGCCTTCATGCTGACACTGCCAGCTTCTTGATATAGACTGTGAACAGATTCTAAGAATTGGCCTGCTTGAAAGAGCCATCAGCAGGGTGATGGACTAGTCCAGGCCTGAGATGAAGAGCTTCAAGGGCATTCCTCTTTAAAACTGACACCTCCCAATGCAAATCCGGTGCGCTGCCTGGATGTGGCTTCCTTCTGCCATTGCAGGCAGAATAAACCCGGTGCCTAGTGGGTTAGGGGTGAAAGGGAACTACTGTACGGAAAAACCACCTGTGCAAGAATTCTTCCTTTCCTAGGTCAGCAGTCCTGAAAAGCCATGTGGGACTTCACCATAGGCCTCTGGGGTCATCTTAAAGGAGTCAGCCTCACAATGGGTTCCGAAGCTTTCCCACTGAAAATTCTTCTCTCACTTCAGACCTCTTCCCAGGGCCAGTCCTTGCTGGCCAAAGTCTCACCTTTGTAAAATAAGGCCTTTAGCTTGGCTTAGAGAGGGTGTCATGTGGCCTAGGCTGGCCTTGAACTTGCTGTGTAGCCAGGAGTAACTTTGAACTCCTGATGCTCGGATTACAGGCATTTACTACAACACCCAGGAGATGCCCTGTCTTAACCTAAAGCCCATGAGGTCCTGAATGGAGCCAGAGCAGCACTGGCCTTGTTTCATCTTCTCTAACCTGGGGGTTCACTCAACTCTTACAAGAAACAGCCACAGCGAGGTGATCTGTTTATCAATAACCCCCCACCTTCCCCTGAGACATGCTGCTCTGATCAGGGCCAGCTGGAACCAGAAAACACTGGAAATCCCAACCATCCATCTCTGGGCTATGTTTACGAGTGACTATGGCCCCTCAGTAGACACAGGCAAGAAAAAGGATCATGAGTCAGGGAGCCAGAATTTGAACTCAAGTTCTCCTGGAAAAGTTGCTGCTTTTGTTTTTGAGACAGGGTCTTGTTATGTACCCTAAGCTGGCTTTTGTTTATCACCCCCCCCCCACCTTCCCCTGAGACATGCTGCTCTGATCAGGGCCAGCTGGAACCAGAAAACACTGGAAATCCCAACCATCCAACTCTGGGCTATGTTTACGAGTGACTATGGCCCCTCAGTAGACACAGGCAAGAAAAAGGATCACGAGTCAGGGAGCCAGAATTTGAACTCAAGTTCTCCTGGAAAAGTTGCTATTTGCCCCCCCCCCACCTTCCCCTGAGACATGCTGCTCTGATCAGGGCCAGCTGGAACCAGAAAACACTGGAAATCCCAACCATCCAACTCTGGGCTATGTTTACGAGTGACTATGGCCCCTCAGTAGACACAGGCAAGAAAAAGGATCACGAGTCAGGGAGCCAGAATTTGAACTCAAGTTCTCCTGGAAAAGTTGCTATTTGTCAAAATTTATGGTGCTGCTTTTGTTTTTGAGACAGGGTCTTGTTATGTACCCTAAGCTGGCTTTGAATTTGCAATTCTCCTGTCTCAGTCAGCCTCCTAAGTGCTGGGACTACATGTATGAGCCGTCATGCCTGGCTGAATTTTAGAGTTTTTTAATCTATAAAGGAAGTAGGTGTCATAACTGAACCAGGTAGTAATTAGTAATTAGTGCTGTGCTTGCTCAACTGAAATTGATTTACTGTTATGATCATCATCTCTTGTTAAATACAAGGAACACAAGACACTTGCAAATAAGAACACAATGACAAAGTGCATCTAATGGGACGCAAAGGCTCTGCAGTCACAGCAGTGGCTTTCTGAGCCCTTCCCAGCTCTCCGTGTCTCCCTTTGCAAATACAGTGACATCTTTAGGAGAGCTCAGTGTAATATGAATCCAAATTTGATAAACACACATGCCATCACGTCACAAAATCACCTTCTGCAGAAAGAGGGAGGGAACAAGAATTTCTTGAACAAGAAATATAAAGAAGATTTTTTAAAATGTTATTTCGGGAAATGTGACTTGCACATAGTGGTCTATGAATATTTTTCTTAGAGATGTCAAAGGTCAGCTGCTGTCAGCTCCTGCCACCTGCCACTCAAGCTCAGGACCCTGGTGCTCCGCTGCCTCTGACGGGGCTTTGACTTCACGTTGTTTGACACCCTTTTCGTTTTAGTCCGGTGATTTCCATAGGGTTCTATGGTCTCTGCGCTTCACAGAACAAACCTGGGCTTGCTCCTGCTGTCTAGTTTCAAGATGGGAAGCTTCAGGCCCGGGTCTGAGGGGGAAGACATGGAGAGAGCAGGATGCGTACCGGGGAGTCCTGGGGAGGAGACATGCCTTCATGTCTCTGAAATGTAGGACTTCCCTGGCCTCTCAGAGCCCAAGTCAAGGTTTCTGGCCTGTTCCTTCTTGCCCTAGTCATGTATATTCCAATCCATTCTTCATCTTCTACTTGCTGTGATACCTGTAGAGTCCCCATTGTCTGCGAGAGCTTTGTTCTATTCTGTGGAAACCCATGGGCTTTTCCTTTTTGAGTTCTAAAACCCCATAGGTATGCTCATATGTATTTGTATATATTTGATGTATACGTCTGTGTATACACATGTATGGGTGGACATGTGTGACCGTGTACATTTTCCATTTTCATGTGTGCTTCTGTATGTACATCCGTGTCCATGCATATCTATGTATATAACTGCATGCATGCATCTCTCTTTGTCCATGTGCAACTGTGTGGATGTGTGTGTACATGCATGTCTCTGTGTGCATATGTGTGTCATTTTGTGTATGTCTGCGTGTGCCTCTCTGCATGTGTGTCTGCATGTGCATGCATATCTGTGTATGTAACTGTGTGCATGTGTCTCTGTGTGTCTGGGTTTATGCATGCATGTCTGCGTGGATGTGTTTGTGCATGTGTGTCATTATGTGCATGTGTCTGTGCTTATCTATGTGTCTTCCTATATATACATGTATATCTGTGGGTCTATGTGTTTGCGTATGTGTCTACACGCCTTGATGATGACAACTGCATGCTCAAGGCTTAATGTAACATTTAGACCCTCAAAGGTTTAGCAGAGAGAAACTTGGGTCTTTTCTGTGTGCTTTCCCCAGACTCCCCGGGAGCACCCTTTCCCCAGACTCCCCGGGAGCACCTTTTTCCTAGACTCCCCCTTTTAACCTTATTCCCTTACTAGAGGCTCAGGATCCTCCAGAACAGGGCTCCACAGCAAGTACCCACATGGGAGAAGGTATCACAGAACTTTCCCTAATGTTGCCTTCGTGAACTCCTGAGTGGTACCTGGTGTGTCTGACAGGGGCAGGTGCATGGCACAGGGTCCTCCTGTGGCCCAGGAATAGCCTTTCTTAGGATATTGGCAGCACCTTTACCAGGGAAACCTGCAGAATTTGCTCAGGGCCTGCAGGACAGTGGCCTCCAGGGGGCAGTAGACACACAGCTTTGTCTCACCTATGTTGATGAAGTCTGACCGATACTGACAAGTCATCCCAAATCCAAAGTCTCTCCAAAATCCAGTTTCCTTCTTTATGACCTGCAAGGAACACAGTGTCAGACTGGGCACATAAAGCAGTATTCACACACAGAGGTGAGCACTGCTCAACGAGGAGGGTCTCCCACCACTGACAAACAGGCAAGCTCTCCGGGGGAAAAAGAGGAGGTACAGATGGGTTTGAAGATTTAATGACAAGAGTACAGTAAACTGGGGCTGGAGAGATGGCTCAGCGGGTAAGAACACTGGTTGCACTTGCAGAAGACTCGGGTTCAAATCCCAGCACCCACATGGCAGCTAACAACTGTCTGTAACTCCAGTCCCAGGGGATC